CGTTATTAACGATACTTTTCTTGTAATAACTAACAATTCCCTACAGTGTTTCGTTATTAACGCCAATTTTGTCGTAATAATACCTAACAATTCCCTACAGTGTTTCGTTATTAACGCTACTTTTCTTGTAATAACTAACAATTCTCTACAGTGTTTCGTTATTAACGCTACTTTTCTTGTAATAACTAACAATTCTCTACAGTGTTTCGTTATTAACACTACTTTTCATGTAATAACTAACAATTCTCTACAGTGTTTCGTTATTAACGCTACTTTTCTTGTAATAACTAACAATTCTCTACAGTGTTTCGTTATTAACGCTACTTTTCTTGTAATAACTAACAATTCTCTACAGTGTTTCGTTATTAACGCTACTTTTCTTGTAATAACTAACAGTTCTCTACAGTGTTTCCTTACTAAAGCTACTTTTATTGCAATACTTAACAATTCCCTACAGTGTTTCGTTATTAACGATACTTTTCTTGTAATAACTAACAGTTCTCTACATTGTTTCGTTACCAAACAATTTTCTGTATAGTTCAAAGATTTTTATTAACACCTCTTTTCTCGTAATAATACCTAGTTATTCTATATAGTGTTCAGTGGTTTATTATGAACGCTACTTTTCTTGCAATGCCTACTAATACTGCATAACAGTGTTCACATTTGTTTTTTATTAAAAGCCGCTTTTTTTTTGTAATGCTCAACGATACTGCGTTAGCAATGTTTACATCTTTCATTGATAACATAACGTTTATCATAATACCTAACTATATTGAGCAAGTCATGGCAAAGCTCAAGGTTGATTCTCCATTCTTATCAATATATATATATGTATATTTTAACCGTTTAATTACTGAGAAAGGCGTAAACCTAAACGTGGCGTGTATTAGCTACGTATTCAGGAGCATCTGCTCATATCTTTATGGTGATAAGTCCTTAGCCTGTGCCAAAAGCTCTAAAAGTAACACTTAAAAAAAATAAAGATCCATTTTAAGAAAAAGTAACTCTTGAAAGGATTAAAGATAGGACTTACCTTGAAGATTTGTTTCGTCCATTTCACAGAAATAAATTCTTTAGAAAATCTAAGAGTAAAGTTTCGTTGACGTGAGCTAGTTTTACTTTAAATCCAAAGTTGAAACATATTGTATTTTTTCCTTTTCTAATTCTAACGGTTTTCCAACTATGTAGATTCAAGAGTGACTTTCATTTTTCATAAAACAATGTTTTCTGTAATAATATTAGTTACAGTTACTACGTGTAACCATAGTAGCATGATGAATAATCGGAACATTTCAGTCAGACGTGTTGCCGTCTCGCAAGCTCTCTGATTGATGCAAGTTTACACAAAATGATGTGCCAACCCTCTATATAGCTAATAACGCTCTCCTAGATGTCGCCACCCATACCCACGTGTTTAAACTAGTACTAAACTCACTTCCCACCTCTGTTGATTAATGAATTACATTGATAATATTAATACATAGATCAAACCTTATGATATACAAATTTGTGATTAGAAGCGCCCTCTTTAAAAGCTGCTCGTAGTTAATGCAATCAAAAACTTGTCACATCAGTTAAAAAACAAACAGAAAGCAAAGTAAAATGTAACTACTGAATGCTTTATATTATTGTGCAGACTTGCGCACTTGTGATATAGGATTAAAAAAATCTATTGTACATTTATTGTGGAATAAAAACGAAATTTTCTGTAAAGTGAAACAGTAAGTGAGATTTTAATTTTGCTCATTAAACTGCAAATTGTATCTAATTGCTCATGAAAACGGTGTATAACAAGTCACAGAAGTTAATTACAAGTCATAGAAGTTAACAAAAAAGGAAAAGATAAGATTAAAACTATTTATATATCACGAGGGTTCAATTTAGAGCGGGAACTAGGTAGCCATAGCATTGAATTATATGATTCTGATTTTGTAAATATAGATAACAAACCTTCAACAACAATAAGTGCCGAATACGTGAATTATTTTTAGTATCTAACCGTCAGTCACATTTATTATCAGCATATTGGGCTTCACATTCGATGTACGTGATCGGTAACTATTACATGCTCGTGTGTAATACGGCAACATTTTTATCATGGGTTTGTCAACAAAGTCACGAATTTTCGAAAAGTGCAGCTAAAATATGATCACTTCGTCAAAACTCGGTCACTTTTATAAAAGACCTCAATTCTCTGTTTATAGAAAGTTGTCCATCTGTGTAGAACCGTTCACTGGAACTTTTACATCCATCCCGCCATCTGGTGGTTCAGCGGTAAATTATGCGGCTTATTTAAAAATTCAGTTTCGATACTTGTGATGGGCATAACATAGATAGCTGACTCGGGTGAAACCCGTTTCGGCCTGGTTTATTTATTAAGAAACTACTATTCCATTACAACTTACTGGGTGAAACCCGTTTCGGCCTGGTTTATTTATTAAGAAACTACTATTCCATTACAACTTACCGGGTGAAACCCGTTTCGGCCTGGTTTATTTATTAAGAAACTACTATTCCATTACAACTTACCATCTCCGAGTCTCAAATGGAATTTACGTAATTGAAGAGCTTTGTTGTAACTAGGATATAAATATGATATTTTAAATATCAAGAATGTTACTGCATAAGAATTTGGATATTGTCCCAACGCAAAGCATTCTAAAATATGGCGTTCAAACGAGTTATTTTTTTTTGTACTATTGAAATTTTTTTCATTATTTTCTCTAACGAGTATGGTTACATTTCACATTTGTAATTTTATTTAACGTACATCTTGTTTTTATAAATGATTATATAAAGCTTCCAAGAAATATTATATAATGACATCCTGTCATTTCGGTTATAATAACTGTCGGCACTTTTAATAATTACTAATTTAACTTGTGTTTCTGACCCGTATAAGAGCACAGGTTTCGTAATGGAATTGAAAATCTTTATTTTTTTTCAATTCTAAGTGTTTCTCAAAGTCAAGTAAGTTGCTTTCGGTTTTCTGATTATTCTGCCCATCTTGTCAATAATACTCCTTACGTAGGTAAAGATCTCCTCCAAGAGGATTGGGCTGTTATATTAAATCATCCTGATTTTGCCTTTATTGATGTGCAGTCCTATTTTGAATTGATTTACAAGGTGATAATTTTTCACTTGGCTGTGAGAGGAGTGCCAGATCCTCAGCTAACTTCTTATATTCCACTCGTTTCTTTTCCCTTGCGCTGTTATCCTCATAATCCAGTCTATCACTAATAGGAAAAGTGTAGTACCCAAGTATTCACCTCAAAACTATAGATAAGTTGGACCCCATGTAAACTTTGTACATCATCCTCTGGCACGTGGTTTGTATCAGACATGTACTTTTTTCGTACCCCATAGTTGACAAAGATTAATTCTGTTCGATGGACTGCTCTGCTATGATGCGTAGGGTATCAAAACGACCTTTACATGATCTATCCTGATGAAAGCCTGTTTGTTCCTCCCAAAGCTGGTCAATCATATCTTTAACCTTTCCAAAACCTCACCAGGAACATCATCATTATCCCACAATAGTTTTTACATTCTGCTATTTACTCCTATTCCCAAATCTTCTGTAGATTGTAAAGTTTTTCTGTGGTTATATCGATGTTAGCTTTAATAGCTTCTGGTATTTCATTCAAGACCTGGTTTCTTTTTACCTTCATAATGGCTTGCTTGATTTCTAGCCTGTTAGGTTTTCACAATTTTCCTTTAGTTATTTCTGCTGGTGGGACGTCTGGAGGTTTTTATGGCAATGGTCCATTGAGAAGCTATTTGAAGTGCCCCACCAACTTTTGTTGTCGGTCTTTCACTAATCTCATACTCTGGCTTGGTTTACCTTTGTATTGAAACTTCATTGTAATGTTGTAGAAGTCATTCATATATTTTGTTGCTGCTAAGACAGATTTTCAAAATGCTTCCACTTATCACCTCAGATATTCTTCCTCAACTCTTTGTGGGCCTTATTATAATTCTCTTGGGTTTTTGTTTCAGTCTCTTTGGCACAGCAACTGTTTAATACTGCTTTATTCTCTTTTCTAGCTCATGTTTTCATTAAGATCCCTGCTGTCATCCGTTCTTTATATTTACTTCATCACAAGTTCTATTCTATATCTATTACCTTCTGCTGCCTGGTTTCAATATCAGGACAGTTCTTCTCTTTAGAGTCGTACCATACCTTGAATTATTTTTCTTTTTGTAACACAAGTACTTGACACACTTGAGAAATTGTGAAAACAAGCAGGGCACTAAGCGAGGCTATAAACAATCCAAAGTAAAATTTGTTAAGTTTTAACTTGTGAAAGATGTGCCATTAAACTAAGCTACTTACAAGTAGATTGTTGAAATGTAATTAGTTGTGTATCTTCTCTCAAACTTTGAAATTACTAACCAGAAAGATGACAACTAGTCAACAGCAGTCACTATCCACTCTTGTTTGCTTATGGACTTATCAATCCCTTTCATAGCACACCCACAAAATGCTGGACACAAACTATGATCCCTTGAATTCACATTCCCAGCACACTAACAACAACTATCCCTCCAACCAAATAAAAAAGGACATTTTGTTTTTCACAAGTTATCCACCACTATCACCTAGCGACGCTGTATTATTCTTAATAAAACCAGTGTTGTGTTTCCCCACACCATAGTTTTAGTACATTTTGTTTTTCACAAGTTATCCACCACTTTCACCTAGTGATGCTGTATTATTCTTAATAAAACCAGTGTTGTGTTTCCCCACACCATAGTTTTAGTACATTTTGTTTTTCACAAGTTATCCACCACTGTCACCTAGCGATGCTGGAGAAGATATTTTAAGATAGCTTTAAATAATCTTGCATTCCTATCTTCAAATATTTAAAAATGAAGCATTAATTTATTAAGTTCATTGCAAATGGCTATCTTTCTGAAATGACTACATCAACATGAACTGTGTGTAATACTAATCACTGATTGAATGTATGAAAAACAAATGATCAAGGTTAAACTGTTCTCAAATGGTATATTACACTGATGGTGATTTATTAACTGAAATGTGGATTAACACAGTAGTTTTTTTGTGGCCAAAGGAACAGCACTAGGTGGTACTGGTAAAGATACAGTAAATCTATTTTCTAACATACAGTTTTTCAGTAGCCTGAATGATAACACATTAAACAAACAAAATATTAAAACAAATATACAAGTTAGCTGCATTTTTTTTTGGAGGTGAGAAACAGGGTTGAATTTTTATATTTTAAAAACATTCTGTACCATCAAATTTTTTTGCTTCAATTCAATGGATAAAAACTTTGAACACTTTAGGGTTTTATGAAGTTTTCTCTAGTGTTTACAAGTTAACACGATGCTGACAAACATACAAGAATGAAGGTAAAAACAACAACTTCAAATATATGGCTTTTTGGATATTAACGCTCAAGAAAAAGTAAATAAAAAGCAGAGAATTCTAGGTAATGAACAAGCTTCAATATGCAAACACTACAAAAAAAACTTTGTTTTTTACGGTGCACCTATATTAATGATGAAGAATTATATGGAATATGAACATCATTATGACTCCTTCTCCCCCTTCTCCTCTTCCTCGTGACTGGAGCTTGTGTGCCATGTCAACCTTTCTTCATAGAACTGAATAACCACTTGTGGACATTTGACATTCGCTAGTCGAGCAGGCACAAGGTCTGCTTCGTCACTGCCTTTCCTACAGGGATAAGTCATAAAAAATCAAATCTCCTTATTACTATGAAATCGTAAAACCGATTATTTTCTTTAGAAATAAAATCAGAGAGTAGCACGTTGAATTATGTTTTAATGTCACAGTTGTTAACCATAAAATACTAAGTGGATCTAATACACATCAACTAAGGGCAACTAAAGAATTGTTAAAAAAAATGTTTTGGAGGTGAGAAAGGAGACCAACCAATCACTGTCATGAGAATTTTCTTATAATTTTTGTAGTAGATTTAATTAAACATATTCAAATAGATGTTCATTTAAGTCAGGTAAAGAATAGCTCTCTTTTCTCAGAGCGATGTTTGACAAACTCAGTTGAAATCATTGAGTACTGAAAAACAAACATCAACACAGAAAAACAAATACTTTAAAAAAGGGGGAGAACCTCTAGCATACCTAATAACGTGGTTCACATAAACTAACAGAAAAGATAATTCCATGATGTTTTTCAGAATGTTAACTCCACCAAAAATAAATAACTAATGTTATACTATATAAGAAATACAGTAAAAGCTATGCAAAATATGCATTAACAGCCCTTCTTGTATACTTCAACTAACTTAAATAACAGGTGACACAAAATCTTGTGTCTTTCTTCCAAATACCGTTCTTCAATCAGAGCTAAAAACTCCTCTATCGTGTAAATAATAGTTATTGAAAATTTGTAGTGCACACTGGAAGAATTTTGGCAATAAGAGAAAAAATTACCCTCACTCTCCAGATAATAATAACAATAAAAAAACAACCTTATTTCAGCTCACATTTCACCCTTGCATCTTCATTAGGGTTAGTAGCTCCACAAAAGCAAAATGGTGGCTGAAATATTTTTTTTTCATTATTATCTGGAGAGTAAAGTTGTTTTTCCACCTAAATTTATTGCCAAAATATTTATTGAATATATT